TGGAGAGCATTAAATAATCTAATAAATCAGTTAAACGACAGGATGCCCAGCCAGAGTGGCTCAATGGTTGAACATCGACCTATGAACCAGGAGGTCACAATTCAATTCATGGTCAGGGCACATGCCCAGGTTGTGGGCTCTATCCCCAGTAGGGGTTGTGCAGGAGGCAGCTGATCAATTATTCTCTCTCATCATTGATGTTTCTATCTGGCTCTCCCTCTCCCTTCCTCTCTAAAATAAATAAAAATATGTTTTAAAAAATAAGGACAATGATAGAGCTTCTTCCTGTATGTGTCCTGGATAGAATGAAAACTCATTGAAAGTAGGGTCTGTGTCTTGGTATCCCTCCACCATTTGACAAAATGCCTTAAAAGAATTTCTACAAGAAGGCATTTCATATGTGCTGGTTGAATGTAATTCTGCTACTTTTGTCTGAAAAGGAATTGTCTGAGAAGGAGAGCATGGTGCCTTAGAATTCCTTTGAAATAATAAAAAAAAAATAATGCCCCTAAGCATTAGATATGTGCAGAGTGCAAGGTGACTCCCCCATCTTGGCTTTCTTTTGTATGTAATTATGAAGCTACAAGACTTCATATTTCTTGTTTCCTAATGTTACAAGATTTGAAGACTATTTATATAAAGTCACCAATATATTTTAAGCTAAAAACCAATGAAACATTAATAAATCCCAATAATACACATTTTTAAAAATACATATGTTTTTGTTGATTTGAGAGAGGAAAGGAGATAGAGAGAGAGATAGAAATATTGATCGAATGCCTCCTGCACTCCCCTTACTGAGGATCGAGCCCACAATCTAGGCATGTGCCCTGACCAACATTCAAACTAGTGATCTTTTGGTTCGCTGTTGAGCCATACTGTCCAGGCACCAATAATGCAAGTTTTTATCTCTACTAATACATTATATATTAGCATGTGACACTTGCACATATCACTGTTTTCTGCCAACATATTTTCCCACCTGAAGGTCTTAGCCAAAAGCAAATAGAGCCTGTTCCCACGTGTACAAAAATACTACACTAAACCTTAGTGGTGTAAACAATAATTTATTATTATCATTCATAATTCTGTGAGGTAGCTGGGCTCACCTAGGTGGTTCTCATTTAAGGTCTCTCATGTGGTTACAGCCAGATGGGAGAGTAAGGCTGAAGTTATCTTAAAGGTTGACCAAGCTGGTCAAGTGGCTATCTCAAACTTGATGTTGGCTGCCAGCTAGGAATTCAGCCCTGACAGTAGGTGCACCTACGTGTGGCATGGCCTCTATCATGGGTTTTCAGAGGGAATATCCCAAGAATATCTATTCTAGGAGATAAAGTAGAAGCTGTTAATCTTAAGGATCAGACCCCAAAATTTGCACATTGTCACTTCTGCTATCTTCTACCAGTCAAAGCAATCACAGAGCCCATTCAGATCCAAAACTAAAGGACAAACACCCCACTTCTCATTTGCTATAGTATCAAAAAAGTAGTGACCTTTTGAATCTTCCATAATATCCATTATAATTTTTCATTTATGACATTCTCATGAACTAAAATTTATTGAAACTTCAAAACAATAAGAGAAGTTCTTTACAAAGCACTTGTTCTAAAATAATCAGATTAAATATTAGATGAAGGGTGTTTCACCATGTAATCTCATTTTTGCCCCTGGTAATATGGATGAATAAAATACTTAAATGATTTCCCACACTTACTAATAAGTTTTACCACAATTGAGATGAAAGAAAGCCCTAACCGGTTTGGCTCAGTGGGTAGAGCATTGGCCTGCAGACTGAAGGGTCCCAGGTTCAATTCCAGTCAAGGGCATGTGCCTTGGTTATGGGCACATTCCCAGTAGGGGGTGTGCAGTAGGAAGCTAATTT